ATCCTTTTATGAGTGATAATGATTGTAGCATTTAAATTTGTAATTTTAAATGCTCTTTCGCGTGGTATTTAATTTTTAATCTACAACTTGGAAATATTTACATTAATAATTTTTTAAACATCTCTAGCCGGGTGGCGCTAATTGCTGACCCTCCGAACGTAAGGTCCCTAGTCCCACTGGAGATGAAATTTTGAAAATTCGAGATTTATCTGAGTTTTCTTTCTCTTTGTCGAGATAACATTCAGGGAATATATTTCACTGAAGCAGACTATATACAAAACACACACTTGCCCCCCCCCCCCCCCAGCCCCCTTAGATTAGATCTCGATTTCAATTAAAGTGACAGATCCTTGTACACTGTAAGGCTGTGATAGCTGATCTCTGGTCGTAGCTGCGGGCGTAGAGAAATATCTTATGTTAGAAATATCTTATGTTTCCTTGTGGTGAACTTTGTGTCAGAGAAACAAATGACTTCAGCCTTTGGCGTTTCAATTTCGGACCTTTACGTAAAAAAGGATATGTTACCTTCTCCTTGTTTTATTGGAGCATGGCTCTTCTCTTGTGTATTGGATAAATCTGGAAGTCTTGTGCCAGTGTCACCATGGTATAGTGATTTGGTGACCGGCGCTTGTGTTGGATGCGAACTGGGTCATGCGATACTGGCTGAGTCGCGTGTTGTAGGACTCGAGATTTATTCCAATAGGCTTTATGTGGTTGGGACAGAGTGCCGTACCCGGTGTGGCAGGGGCTAACAATGAGATGAATGTATGGCACTGATTTCTATTTCTCTTGGTGACACACATTGTTAAGACCGGCCTTCATGTTAAATACATCAAACCCCCACATCACATCAAGTTCCCTTTTCCTTAAACAATGTCGTGCGGTATGCGCGCTGGACTGTCGTTTGGTCGTCTCGATGGTCCCGGGTTCATACCCTGAACTCTGCAATCCTCCGTCGTCCTGCGGGAGGTAGATAATCTTCAAAACAGAACTTCCAAAACATGTAAAATATTTTACGAACCAACAACATATACAAACGCATATTGAATTTAGTTATTTATTTCTTAATTTTTTAAACCACGATCCTAGTTTTTATGAGAATTCTTGGGAAAACAAATCTACAAAACCTTGAGCAAATAGACTTGAAAGTTTAACGTAAACCTGAATGACGTAGCAAATCGCATGCTATTAATAAGTGAACTTTGTAAATTCCCGATTAAACCCTAAAATAATGTAATGCCAAACTACCAAAAGACTCTAGAAAGCACATAAGACCGACAGCGATTGGCTACAGAGCTGGAAAGACCCTCATCTCATCCCGTAGTTCTCTGGCGAGAAATGCGTGGTTCATCATAACTCCCATACAGATCGAGTGGCCTTTTAGGTACGCCCCTGACGGAGATGAGGACACTTGTACAAGATATGCGACACTTGTTTACCCCGACTGTCTGTAGTGACGGTACCGATGGTCATCGCTTTCTAGACCGAAGATTTGTTCTGAGAAGTTTGGTGGGATTAAGAAAGGTTGTGTGTGTGAGAGTATGTGTTTCTGTGTGTGTGTGGGGGGGAGTTAAAATACTCCCCCCCCCCCCTTTCTCTCCCTTGTAAACAGTTACAACGAAATACAGTAGAACGTCGTTTATCCGACTCAATTGGGACCGGACACCGTTCGGATACGCGATTGTTCGGATAACCGAAAACCGAAGCGATCCATGCAGTATATGCAACCGGACACTATACGAATACATGTACATGTGGTTGATAAAAAAAAAAAAAAAACAAACTGGTCCGGATATTTGACGCTCCGGATAATAAACGTTCGGATAAACGACGTTCTACTGTAGTATACCTGCAGATAATTGGCTCTAAAATAATAGAATGGCACTTTATGCTTGCGTGATGGCGAGGGATTGCGTTGGAACGGGAAAAACATAGAGAGGGGGGGGGGGGCTAGGCAACGCGAGAGAGATTTTTTTTTTTTTTTACAAAGATATAGATCTACTTTTAACGCATTCTCTCCTAGCTCGTTAAAATTGTATTGATCTATGTTATCAAACGCACAATGGGCACTTACTTCCATTGTACATTTAAACAGTGCCGTGTGTAGTTAATTTGACTGTAATTAAAAAATGTAAAACTCTGCCTGACATTGTAACGTCCTACTAGCGACATAATAAACTGAAATGACTTGGGGGTGATGATGTGTAGATGTGTGTGTTTGTGTGTATGAAAAACGGGAATCCCCCTCGCAACCCCCCCCCCCTCAACCACACTTTAATTTATTAACAGAACATAGTAAATAAGTGTTTTTTTTTTTTTAATCAGCATAGTTAATGAGGTGCAACGCGTACCCCCTTCATAGTCTTCGCGTATTCCTGGGGGTACGCGTACCCCACTTTGGGAAACACTGACTTAAGATAAATAAATATTTTTCTTATTCAGCGTGTCTTAATTAATCAACGATGTAGCTAACCGTGTCTACTCTCTCTTGCACATCCATGATAGCCATGATGATTATAAATGCATCTTCTTATTCTCTCTCTCTCTCTTTTTTTGTGTGTGTACAAAACTTATAAATCTAGGCCTACTCTCTCTATTTGTCTGGTACAGTTCTTGTACGCGTTACTTGTCCCACTCTCCATTCTCGGACCAAGTTGAAACTTTTGCGCAATTATTCATAGTCGATGACAACACATGAATTAATCCAAAAAAAAAAACAAAAAAAAAACTAGTTACTTTGTGGTAATTAATAAATTTGGTTAATATATAAAAAAGGGATATAAATCTTGCAGTTTTGAAAGATAATGGCTGTAAATGTGCAGTTCTTTCTTTATGTAAGCTTTGCATTTTTAAAAATATTTTTAGAATCATTAGCTTTATTTATCACATTTTAAAATATTTTTTATAATTAATTTCTATTTTTTTTTTTTTACTATTTCAGTTTGGCCATATAAAAGGTCGTCTGGAGAAGTTGAGACAGGCTTTTCAAAGCCGTAGTGTGAGTACATCGCCCGCTTGTGAGCTTAAAGAGTATTCTTTGTTGTGTGCTCAACCCCCTGACCTGATCTCATTACAAGCGATAAAAGTGAGTTTCAGAAGCATCTGCAGTATTTTCGTTTCAGCATTGGCAAATAATGCAAGATTGTAGAAGAACTCTTCTGCCTCGATCACGTTTTAACATTTCATTCTTCTTGTTTTCCTGAGTCGGTCGCCGATGTCATCGGGCAGGCAATCCAGGGGCTAAGGGGTTTGCCATGGCGTCAGACAGCCCCGGGGGCTACAACCACATTTCGCACTACGTTATCGACGGGCAGATGCTTGGCGGAGTGGGCGTAGGGAGTGGCCAGCACCGCGACTGCAAGGACTCGGGCTACTACGTCAGCACCAGCGATGGCGCCAGCACTTGCAGCAGCAGCGCCACGGAGGCCGGGGACTTCGAGGGCGGAACGCTGTTGGTGCTGGAGCCCAAGTCCTTGAGGAGCTTTACCACCAATGACGAGTACTTGTACGCGATGAAGGAGGATCTGGCTGACTGGTTCTCTTGCCTGTACCAGACGGTCATCACGGCTGAGAACTTCATGTCCATGCTTGAGACTGGAGTCTTGCTGTGCAAGCATGCCAACAAGGTTAGTCCCAACTTTCTTTTTTTTTTAACCTTACATTTATTCAAATTTAATCAGCGTCCATAATTTAAAGTCTTGGTTTAAAGAGAATAAATAGAATAATTAGGCATTTCCTTTTGAACATTTCTGAAATCACTTCTTAGTGTAGGCAAGATAAACTTGCCAAGGAGAAAATCTTACGAACAACAGAGTATCAGGATTTGGCACTTTTGTTAGTATACCAAAGAGGGGCGAGGCTTCAGACATTGCCAGTGACAGATCTTTATGAAGACAGCTTGCCGCCCAGTGCGCCGAACGGCGCGGGAGTATCTAAGTCTAAGTAAGTCTAAGTTAGTACTGTTATTGGCTGGCTTGGAAATCTACGTTTTATGCCGTTTGGCCGATTTCCAAAGGACACTGTATGAAGAGATGCATTAGAGCGAATATCTTTATTTGGGAGAAAAAGGCACAGGGTAAGCCCAGTCGGAGGACAAGCATAAAGTCATAAGGAAGAAGGGTAATGAATCACAGATGTTAAGCACCTAGGAGCATGATGGAAATGGTTGAAAACTTAGCACCCTTTTATGATTTTAAATACATAACGTGCGATCGTGCAATGGGTGTCGATGATTGGACTCTGAACTTACTCCTAAGTCACGTGAGATGTTGCGAGATCAAAAGATGGGTCTTTCGAGACATTCAGTGCCACAGAGCCATGGATGTTTTAATCTGACTTGTATCCTCTTCTCTTCTTGTCAGATGCAGGAGTACGCCAGAGAGAGGCAAGAGAAGGGAGAGACCCTGGAGATGAGATCGTACTTCATTCGTTCCATCCCTCTGGGAAATGTGCCCTTCAAGGAGGGAGTCAAACCCGAAACTTTCCAGGTGAGTGCCTTTAAAGAGTTATGGGGAAACATAAAAGGGGGGGGGGGGGCTTTTTCTAGAAGCGGACACTCAAAATTAATATCGGTGGGGTCAAGAGTTTTTGCAAACATTTCGGAGGGGCTCATCAAGGGAGAGGGAGTGTTTCTAATGCAGTAGCAATACTGTAAGAAGTCAGTACAGGACATTGTGGGAAGCGTGGTTCAGAGGCTAAGTGCGCTTGAACTTGGCTTGGCTACCTATGAAGAGGGCTCGAGAATCGAGCAGAGTTGTGTTTACTGAGCACTTAAAGGCAGCACGGAAAAATCTTCTCCTAGATACCCCCTCCCCCCACTGGTCCACAAATGACCCTGGACCAAAGCGCTCTGAGCATGCTGTAAGCATGAAAGTTGCGCTATATATAAAAGCTATAATTTAATAACGATGGTGTTCAAAGATATATCATTTGGTAACTAAACAGTAACAATACATTAAAACTACAGTATCATTTAGTCACAAAACTATGACCATTCTTCAGATTGCGGATAACTTTATGTTGTAGACGGTCGTTGACTTGTGGCACCAAACTGCTTGTATACAACTAAACCACTGTAGGCCTGCTATATTTTAACTTCTAAAATGTTAAAATAACTTGAATAACTTCTTTGTGAACGATATTACATGCAACTTTTATTAGAATATAAACAAAATCAACTTGAGGTACAATGAAATACAAGTAGTAGACTTTAGTCATAATATAAAATGGTATTTCAAACTAAATCTAACTCCTTACAAAAATACGTCTTTTCTCTCTGGCGTTCTGGAGTCGTCTGTCCTACCTAACACCGCTGACGGCAATGCCGATTATCTTGCATCATTCACACTGCATAGCTAACCTCCTCCCACCGTCACCATAGAAACACACACACCATAACACTTTATATTTTTCTAATTCCATTTTTTTTTAGTAATGTATATTGTATAGCCATTGTTTTTATTGGCCACTTACTGCAACCCTTTTAAAAGCCAGTCTGGGAATCGAGGGATCTGTGAAAGATTTTCCAGCGGTGTCAAGGGGCCCCAAATGTTACCCTACATTCTGAGCTTCAGAAATTCAATTTGAGAAGCGCTGCTACTAAATTAATGCCATGCTTGAATGAAAGTGTAAACCTCACGGCCCATGAGACGTGTTTTTGATATTCAGCTGACATTTAAATAGTTTAGGCCGATATCGACAGTATTCTTTGACTCCAGATTTGATTAGACCAAATGTTTTATTAACACGGTCATTCTTTTGCGGTCATCCGAAATGGCGGCCTTATCTCTGGGTTTTTTTGTTTTTTTTTGACAGGCTGCCCCACTGCCATCGCCCGCCTGTCCCTAGGAGCTAGTCCAACGCCACGCTGATATTTCGTCCAATCGATTTTGTACATACAACTTTTATACCCTGAAAAAATAAATTTATAAATCGATAAATAATAATTTATTAGAGTTGGTGGAAAAAATATTTTAAATGTCACAGTCATTGTGCTAACATGCTTTTCTTTCCTTCTTTCAAGGCTAGAGACAACGTGTCAAATTTCATTAAATGGGGACGACATATGGGCATACCGGAAGTTCTGAGTTTTGAAACAGATGACCTTGTCCTTCGTAAGAATGAAAAAAGTGTCATCTTGTGTCTGTTGGAAATGGCCAGGGTGAGTTAACTCTTTCTTAATTTGCATTACGTCTGCACGCTTGTGTCTAATTAACTCCCTTGGGGATGTCATTAGAAGCATGCTCTGTAATAGGTGAGCCATTTCACCTCCCTTCCCTAGTATTAGTTAACAGAGTATTCATTTTAGCATCATATATATTGCTGATAGTTTCGTGGAGAAGATCAAAGCTTTCGGCTACCAATCATGTCAGGAGTTCAATCCAGATGGAAGTACGTGCAGTTTTTTTTTTTTTTTGCTGTTTCAATTAGTGAGCTAGGCCATGAAGCTCTTGCGTTCACTGTCATTCCTGGCCTTAGCTGGTTTTAAACTGCTCGTTGCGGTGGGTGTCATTAACACCTTCGTTAACCCTCGTTCTACAAGGAGGCCAAACAAACACCAACAGAACATGGGTCAGGTGTGTGGGTTACATTTTGGTTTTTATTTCGTTGTGTTGTGTTTTTGTTTCTCTCATTATTTTCAATAGCCTATTCTCGATATAGACGTTTGGATTTCCTGCACAAATTGTATTTACAACGTTTAGATAGCGTAAATTTCCAGTGCATGATAAAATTAGATTTTGTTGCAGTGATAAGACGTAACACTTATGATCAGCAATGTAACAATAACGATCAGTCGTGTTACGCTAAAGTGCAAGAGGGGCAGCTTAAATTTGTAAAAATTCCATTTGTATAAAACTGCTAGTTATGCCCCGTCAGACTCCTCTTTCTCCTACACACGATCATCGCCAATGGACAAAAGCGAACAGTTACTAGCTTGAATGAAGCCGTGACATAAACATTCTGAAGCCTTCTCCGACCCTTTTTCTCAATGTACTAGTTCTCTCCCAACCCCATGTACACACACACCCCTGTCAAAAATGAAAACCTTTTTTATTTTTATTTTTTTGTTAGGGTTTTTCTTGAATCTGTTTACAGCCTAATGAAACGATAATGACTTGAAAGTATTTGTTGTTTTCATATATTACAAAATGTTTAGTCTAACGGCGTTTTCTCATTTGTCGTGTATTTTGTTGCAGGTGGGTGCCAAACTCGGAATGTTGGCTCCCACGCTGGTCCAGATGGAGGAGGAGATAGACGCAGAGCTTGCCGGAGATGAGCCGCCACTGCCGAGGCCACAGATTCAGACATGTGACATGCGGTCTTTGGATGAAAGGGTAAGAACTGTTCCGTCCCCCTGGTACATAGTCACGACTGTCCATTCAAATCTTGTCTTCCTCAGTGACGAAATACTAAAGCATCTAAGATCTAGTAGAAGATGCGCTAAAAAATTCTTTGTTATTCTTGGAAGACTCACTATAAAGTTCTTTGTTTTTCTTGGAAGACTATTATTATTATTATTATTTTTACATATGCAAACATAACACTATCATAGTAATTTAACTCTATGGGTAAGTTTTACATCTGATTTGGGAGAACTTTTAAAGCCTAGTGATCTCCACAGCCACCTGTCAGACATTTTATACTGTCCCCAGCTGCGTTACAGTCATTGTATTTCATGTTCCCAGTTCTCACACATAGTGAAATGTTATATACCCGCCTCTTCACTTCTCTGTGTGACTTTCGATCTCGCCATTTACCACTCACCTAAGTCGTAATGGTTGACACCCACACAAAACGTACGTCATAACAGTCGACACACACACGCACACACAGAGTTCTAATTGAAGCAGAAATATGTTCCAGCAAGACATGAATAATAATCGAAGAATTCCATTAAGTCTGGAGTTAGTTTATCTCCAATCTGTGCGGGCCATGTAGTTTTAGGAAATCCATTTCGGACACTCGCCCAGAAATTAGATAATGGAAGGAAGATAATGGAATTTTTTTTTTCGGTATAGTCCATCCTCGTCTTTTTCGAGTCTCCTTTTTATAAAATCCATTTTATACACAAGATTGGTGAAGAAATTTTACATTAATTAGAAGATGATTTAAATAAAAAAAAAAAAAAAAAAGAAACTGTGATAGAAGTTATACTGAATTTCAGTGTTGTCGTTTTTTTAAACTTTTACTAGTGACCACCAATGCATTTACTTTATCTACACCCACCCACCCCACCCCCTTCCACACCACCCACATTGTGTCTTGAGGGAGCGCAGAACCCTAGAGTTCCGCGCGGTCTCAATAGGTTTTCCACGATCTACTGGAATAATTAACTAGTAGGCCACCGCGTGAATTAATCTCTCTAAAAAAATAAGCTAATTGTTCTGCTAAATGCTCAGAACGTGCGAAGTGTTCCGTTAAGGAAAGAGTTCGGGAACCACTGCTGACAGCCATTTCAAAGTCGAGCGTAATACTACAACGTAGATTCAAACAATGCATTGTCCTGGCGTCTACAACTCAATGTTTTTCTCCTGGCGTCTACAGCCTACTGTTTCTCCTGGCGTCTACAGCCTACTGTTTCTCCTGGCGTCTACAGCTTACTGTTTCTCTTGGCGTCTACAGCTTACTGTTTCTCCTAGTGGTAAGAGCACAGGTCGAATGAAGTTGAAATAAGAAGAAATTGAATGGGCTGATGCCGAAGTGTGAGAGACATTAGAAGCCGTAGAACATGTAAGTTGGTAATGGGCTTCATCAACTTAGTATCCTCCTCGGGTTCAGCAAGGAATGTCGTCAGAAACAAAAAAAAGCTATTTGAATAGTGTGAAGAATCAAACCGGCCTGTCTCTTGATACGTTAGTGCGAGTGGCTTAGAACTGAGAGGATTGGAGATACTAGGCTTCGCCACCACATGACGCAATGGCACAGTGAGGGATTGAATGGTTCATTCATTTAGAAACGATGATGCAAATGACAGATACAAATGGCCCCCCACCCACCCTATGCTATGTTCTTATGGTGGAAAGTGGATCTAATTTTTGTTTATACGGTGAACACTAAACATATATATTTGTTTTGGCGCGTGTTCAATGGGGCTAAAGAATCAATTATAAAATAAATTAAAGGGTGCGTCTGTTAGAACACAAAAGGATATTTATTGATCAAGATTCCTAGTCATCCATAAATCAAATAATTTAAAGTAAAATATATTCCTTCACAAATTACTTTCCGGTTTGCGGAAATTTCTTCCAAGTGTTAACGTTTCAAAAAAAAAAACAGCAACAGTCGCCCTTGCTGTGACCGTCTGTCCAGTCTGTCCGTGGTCTAAAAATGAAAGAGGATGAATGATTATGTTATTGGTGGACGTGGCGCCCCCTTGTGGCGTTTTATCTTTGAGAGTCTGCTTCACTTTGTCCATTTTTCTCTCGGTGGGACCAGGTTGTAGCTTTAGGCCTAATTCTCACCCCCCGATGAGTGTGTTGAATATGCTCTCTGGACACATATGTCCACACTAGGTCCTGCTGGTGTTGGGATGTGAATTTTTTTGATCCAACGCGTAGACAGCTTAAGATTCCCTTCAAAAGTGCAATTGTTTTAGACACTTTATAATGTTTCATTCACTATTGGCTTACTTCACTCGAAGAACGACTACGGTTCACCTCTCATTCCCTTCCAGATTATACTGCTGTAGAGCAAAAGTTGAAGAGCGTTATAAAAGACCCACGATAAGACAGGGTTTCCCCTGCGTAGAAATCAATGCCTGCTCTAGCTCCTCCGCAGCCCTGTCCATAGACAGTGTGATGGAAAATCTATAACTCTTAGCGCCTATTTCTGGGAATGTTTCCTTCCCTTTCCTTCAATGGTCAACTTAGATAAAAGGTTCATGTATTGGCCTTAATAGCTACGAATTAGATCTAGTTTACTTGAGATTTGAGAGCGTAGACGCAATAAGATTGAATGAATTGGACTTAATAGACTTTTTCTCTGATAACATGTAAATTTTTAAAAATTACATTTTAAATCTAGTTACAATAGCTACTAGAGAAATAGTGCTTGAGACTTGTTAATCGGGTGATCAAAGAACTAGCAAATGTTAATTAATTATCCGATTGATTGCTTAGCCTTGAAATACAAAAAAAAAAAAGTTCCCTTAGCGATCTATGAGGCAGATGATGTAAAAGTCGACTGATTTTTTTGGTCCACTGTTAACGAGGGTGTCTTGTAGACAGCACAATGGCCTTTACTTTTACCCAATTAATGTCAGATACCTAATAGCGCTGGCTGAACTCAGAGTCGGCCCTAAAAAGATCTCGAAATTAAAAATCACCAGGATTTGAACTCGGTTCAGAAGACGAGCGCTCTACCACTCATCCACCTCACCTACGCTTTTCTGTTGTCACGTGGGGGATATTTGAACGGGAGTCGACTAGAGATTTGAAACAGTAAAGACTTGTTTTTATAGTGTTAGATTGTATTTAAAATATCATTTTATATTATTATTATTATTACCAGATTTATATCTCAAGTTGAATTGGTCTATACATGTATTGTTAATAAA